GCCGGCGTGCCCGGTCGCGGAAAGAACTGATTGATAAACAGACTGGGAAATTGATATTTTTTGCACAATGACATTGTCTCCTCAAAGTCCTCCTCCGTCTCTGTGGGAAAGCCACATATAATGTCAGTGGCAATCGTTAGACCTGGCACACGAGATCGCAGGAAATCCACCACGTGCTCAAAGTCTTTGCGGCAATACTCTCGCTTCATCTCGCCCAGCACAGAATCACTGCCGCTCTACAAAGGAGTAATTTAATAAAGATTTCGTATCATTTGTATTATAAGCGCTTACTTGCACCGGTACGTGAAGGAAAGCGTAAACTCGTGGATGCTGTAACACCTTGGCCACCTCCTCGAGGTGTTCCAGAATGTAGGGCGGATTCGTCATACCAACGCGTAGCATACAGTGCTCAGGTATAACCTCGACAAGCTGCCAGAGCAGCTCCGGTAACGAGCTGCCAATATCACGGCCGTAGGCACCAGTGTCCTCAGAAGTCAGCCAGATTTCACAACAGCCCTCGCCAAAGGATTGGCGCGCACGTTCGACTATTTCAGCCGGCGGATAGCTAGCCAAATCGCCACGTGCGTGCTTTGTTTTGCAATAGGTGCACTGATTGAGGCACCCGCTATTGATGGATATGATTTCGATTAGTGGATTCTTTCGAACTTTCGGCAACGACAACGGTGCGCCGGCCACTCGACGACCCTGAACCTTCTTGTTCTGTAGAAGGCGAACACTGTGTCCCTTAAGTGTTTCTTCGACCACCTCGACAACCCGGTCGATTTGCTGAACGCCAATTATGGATAGTCCGCGTAAGTAATCGGACTTTGGGGCGCCTTGTGGTACGCATCCAGCAACGACGACATGCTTCCCATTGCGCATACCCGACTCGATTTCATTGCGAAACGTGTCCTCGGAGGGATTCTTGACGGTGCAACTGTTTAGTAGCCACAGATCTGCCTCGTCTTTGCTGCTCAAATTATAGCCATACGCCGCCAGCTGCCCGGCCATATACTCCGAGTCWGAGTTGTTGTGYGCACAGCCCCAGGTCTTCACATACACTTTTTGGGTGCCGGGAATAACACTTTCGTAAATAGTTTTCTCTGGCTGTGGCGTCGCCTCTGCTTCGCCATCGCACAATGTGGGTTTGATTTGTGCTCGTTTCTTGGCGCGCACTGTAACGGTCTTTTTGTTTTCATAGCGTTCACGTGGTTTTATATCTTCGGCCGATATCAAATCCTCTATATCATCTATATCGTTGCCAGGCAAATCCACTTCGAATCCCATCGTTGGTTTTATTCGTAATACCGGTGCAKCCGCACATGTGCTTGCATGAACKCAGACAGCTGTTTACATTTSTCGATGAAGTGTGACCGAAAGATGCCATAAAACAGTGTTGAAAAACGAGATTCTCTCGTGTAAGCTGTCAGCAAAGGCTTGAGAGATTGAGTTGCWACGAATTWAACTACACCCTACAACTGAAACAATTAGCGTWGCTTTCAAATTTTGCCATATGTAATTTKTTAGCAAACAATTATATAATAAAAGGTTGATCTATACAATATTATTATATTTGTAATGTAATTATGTTTATTTTAGCACTGAYAAATTTACATGTACACATGAAACCGTTGCCTTCGATAGCTYAACTCCCACACCTTACTAATTAGTATGCCTGACATTTTCAGCTGCGCTACACTTTTGACATCTTATCAGCAGCAACGCTATCAGCGCGGAGACAGCGACTAGTTCCTCATCACATTTTTAACCCGGTCTACAGCAYTTTAATCCGTCTATCACAATGATACACATCAAATGTAAAGACACCAATCTAGATCCGATTCCAGTCAAGGTGAGGCCATTTATTTATCTGTACATAAGCACATTGTGCTGAAAATGTATACGTATTTGCGTGTACGTGTTTTATTAATTATAATTTTCATTTACAGATTGGCATCATTGGTGGCTCTGGTCTGGATGATCCAGACATTTTGGAGCAGCGTAAAGAAAGGGTAGTGGAAACACCATATGGTGCTCCATCTGATGCTCTGATCGAAGGYGAAATTGGAGGGGTACAGTGCGTCCTTCTGGCTCGCCATGGTCGCAAGCATGATATTATGCCATCCAATGTTAACTATCGTGCCAACATATGGGCCTTACGTCAGGTGGGCTGCACACATCTGATTGTGTCGACGGCTTGTGGCTCSCTCAGAGAGTCCATTCAGCCGGGCAATTTGGTGGTGCCACATGACTTCATTGATCGCACCACCAAGCGCATGCAGACTTTTTATGATGGCCAGCATGAAGGCATGACTGGCGTCTGTCATTTGCCCATGTATCCAGCCTTCTGTGAGCGCACGCGCAAGGTTCTACTAGATGCGGCCAAAGAACTGGATTATGCTGCACACGATAAGGCTACTATTGTTACAATAGAGGG